CAACAATCTGTCTCTTGGACATTATAATGAGGTAGGATAACATTCACACCATATGTGACACCATTCACACCACAATATGAAATAAATAGAAGCAAAATAATAATCAAAACTATATACACTAAATAATAAAATAAAATAACCTAAAAATAAGAAAATTAAAACTAAAAAAAAAAAAACAAAAAAAAAACACATGCATACCTATATACACTATTTACAATCAGGCGAGGGAACTCCAGGAGAACCCTGCGCTACTCTCTCAACCACATCAATATTATAGTTAAATGAACAGTTGTATAACTTGTAATATGGAGGCTGGTCCGCCGTCAAGCGGACAGTAGGTACCCACCTAGTTACAGTTAAAAATAATAAATATTTGTAATTTTATTAATTTATTTAACTCTAGTCTCAGAAACGTTCATATAAAGTTATACATAGTCATCATTGCATCATACAGTTTTAGATTGCCCAGTATTGTTATTTTTTCCTGTTTCCGCTTAAAAAAGATAATGCTATCTGGATATTTAATTTTTTCTACAACTTGTATTAGTTTTTAGCTTTTTACATTAACACTTTCCAATAATTTTACTTATACAGTTTTACTGAAATATTTCTGAAAGCATTCGTACTATTTATGCTGTAATTCTTTTTTTTTTTCACCTTTGTTTATTGAATAATATTTCTTTTTGTGACAATTAAAGTCATTAGTAATAGTGATGTAGTAGTCCACTCACAGTCTATGTATAATAAAATAAAAGGCCAAATGTTAATAATAGTAACAGTAAATGTATATCTGTGCTGCGGAGGTAAATGGTACGATGTCCATTTTTTTTTTAAATAATTTAGTAAATAAGAATTAAGATATATAAACGAAACGAAACTAAACTTATCGAAATAATAACTTGAAAATAGGCATACTTTAATACAATAATAATATTTGTAAAGTTCATTTACTCAGAAGAACTTCGAGCCAAACATCTCCTCCCCCCACTTGTGTTAGGAAAGGACTGAAAGAGATCCCAACGCCTCTTGCTCATCCGCTTTACTGGTGAAACTTGAGTTTTTTTTTCAAAACTCAATAACTATTTTATTAATACTTCTGAATATTTTACTAATAACTATTTTATAAATAGAAGTGTAACAAAAAGTAACAAATTTAATTCTGTTATTATTTACCTGTAAACACAGGCGGATCTGCGGAATACCATAATAAAAAACCATAATAAATAAAATACCACAATAAAAGCCATGTTTTACAGAAAAAAATATTTCTCTTAAAGTATTGTTGTTCCTGTAATTACACTTATAGGACTTCAAGAACCACTCAAACACCATTTCATATACGTAGTTGATTTCTTTATTTTTTTTAAAATTAATTATCGTCATATGTATATAAAAATAATCTTTCGGGTTGAAGCCTCCCTCTCCCCCTCTTTTAAAATGTTTAAGTTGTGAAATAAATAAACCTATGGTGGTCAAATGCAGTGTTGCCCAAAATCGGTCTTGGTCTTGCATTTTGCTAAGACGAAGGCCGCCTAACTGTTTGCAAGTCCAAGACCAGGACTGGTAAAACAGATCGATTTTTTTGTGTAAAAATTAATGCAAAATAGTTAGTAATACTTGACTATCTTAGATAGTATATCTAAGTAATTGTCATAGCCAACATACTTTTGCATTTAACTCTTAATTTTTCATTCAGGCTTACTTAGGTTTCTCCTATATAAAAAATTACAGTGATATCTGTATAGTAATGTGCTAATAAGTAATTGCAAGACTGTTGCGAGACTCTTGCGCAAGACCAAGACTGAGTTTGTAAGACCAAGACTCCTCTCGGTCTCGCATTTGAGCAATACTAGTCAAATGTCTTCAAAAATTGTGAACAGAGCAAATCGGGACATCATAAATGGGGTTAATGGATAGATTTTTTTTTTCAATCGCCTTTTGTCAATTCCATCATAGTTTAAAATACTCCAAATCTTCCTCGTTTAATAAAAAAGAAACTAAGTTGTGTGCTTTAGACCACACCATAGATAATATGAAGAGAATGAAATTCTAAACGATCTCCTGGCTCACAGTATGCTCAGAACCGATTTTTAGTTTCTGAGGTATTATAATTCATATCTTCAATAAAACATATCATATCATTAATAAAACATATTATATCGCTTGGTTTTCGACACTATGCTTGCTATCTCTTCTCGTCTTCCTGAATGTCGTCGCGTTAAGATACAATTTTGAATAATAGCCCATTACAGAAAGGATGGAATTACGAACATTTCCCTCGCTAGCAATGTGCAGGTTCGATTTTTAGTTTTTAATAGAGATATTTTAATCCATATGCAAAAGCACTTCAATTACTCAACTCCAGCCGACTTAACCCGAGCGCTACACATCGTAGATCTGGCTATCTAATTTACTCTCCACAAAGAAAAAAAAGTATGAAACGCGTCTAAAGAAGTTTTCACTTACAAAATATATGTTTAACGTTTATTTATTACTGTTTATATGCTCAGTGGCAATCAGACAGTTGATGAAATTGTTAATATTGTAAAGGGACTGATGAAGCCCAGGTAGGCGAGGTGCCCGCGGCGGTATTGGCCCGGTGGTACATTATTGAGCTGTGGGCCAGGCCCTAAGCTTGGATTACCTACTGCTCTTTGTGCCTGCTTCCCTAGCCATAGTACTCCATTGGTTAATAGTCCATCTTAATATGTATGGCTACTAGTCTACCAGCAAGTCTATCTTAGTATGGCTAACCCATTTAGCTACATCCTTCTTTGTCGAAGCAATATTACTATGTATTGAGTATTTTATATATTTTTAGAAATCAGGATATCACTTTTAGTATCAATCGTTCATTAAGTAAATTGTCACTTTAAATATATGATATTGTTCAGACCATAAGTATATAACCTTTATATCTTTGGAGAACGCTGTAATTTCAGGCAGTGCTAATGGAGGCTGTAATAATTGTTTATATTTTACCGCTACTATTTTTATTTATCACTTAATACACCTACCCACATGCATACATACAACCTTATTCGATTAAATACCAAATTGTCGTTACTTAAATAATTAAATGGCTGATAAATATTTAGGACGCAGTCATTGTAAAGTTTTTATTAGTGCCGACGTTTCAACCCAAACGTGTGGGTCATCATCAGGGCCGAAAATTTTTAAATTCAATCAGAAATATAATATTATTCGACCGATAATGCTCAATAATATAGTGATTGATGGTACATGTATTTTAACTAATATTACAATACACAATATTACTAATGAAATGAGTAAAAAGTTATGTAAACTAAAAATAATGTATATAATCCATTTATAACAATTTTTAATAATATCTCTTACTAACTTTGGTTCGACCACTGAATGCTTTGAAGTACTGACACATTTGGTAGGTAAGTGAAATGGTCGGGGGAAGATTTTCCAGTTTTCCTTTTTCAGATAGCAAACATAGTCAAAAGGTGGAAGGGGGGAGTTAGGTAACATTTCTCTTTGTAAAATATAATTAATTCGCTGACTAAATATTCAAGATGTATACAAGATTCGCGTTGTTTCTAATGATTATAGAATCAAATATTAATTCGTTCTAGCATTAGATTAATAAATATTGCGGGAAAACGTCGTTGAAACCTATTTGTGTGGTAACCAAATTGGTATGTTCACCATTTTACATTGGAATCCATACCCTAACTAACCCTTTTTCTTTGAAAATGCAAAAGAACAAACACTCACGTTTTTGTCATTGTTAGAGGTGGTCATTCTTCATTAAAGCCTGTTATGCAAAATCAATTGGTGTTCTAGTGATAGAGGTGTCTAATCTGTTTGGTTCTGAAAAGATCCGAGTTTGGAGACGAGAAGAAAGTGCCGAGAGGTCAAGACCAAGGCCGCCCTGTCATCATTCGTTAGACCACGCACTTTTATGAGATGCGGGACTGTTTACTATAAATGTTTGGTACCAAACTCCTATTGCCAATAATTATTTATAGTAAAACAAATTTATTAGGCTTTAGTTAGAGATAGGATTAATCTGTCAATGTTTTATAAGAACTTACGGAATGAAAAATAGAATCTTCCTTGCATAATCCTTATTTTTTTAGATTATAGCCTGTTATAATGTATCAATATAAGGTGGCTGGGGTAGCCTTGCGGGCTAAGATACTTGCAATAGGTAATCAAAGTTAAGAATCGCCGAGCGTGAATGGGTGACGGTCCACCAAGGAAAGGCACGCTGCTCGAGATTCCTTCCTCCTCTCCGGGTATGTGAGGCCCGTCAGTCTACTGGACTCAACTCACACCGACCGGACGTAGGATTGATGACCCTACCTTTAAAAGGACTGTTCATCAATTTAAAATCTTCATGGTCTGTAGCCTCAAATGAAAAAAAAAATAATAATAATGTATCAATATTGTTTTATTCTTTATATAAAGACTTATATTGTAAAAAAAAAAAAAACAAGAAAAAGAATGTCATCAGATATGGATGGAGGTGTTATTTATATATATATATCTGTTTCATAACACCTAAAACATGATGATGGCAGTTTCGATAATAGATCTTTCCTTTACATTTTGGCACTTCCAGCGGTCACATTGGGTGAAATTAGCTAAAATTTGGTGTCTAGGGTCCTTTGTTCAGCATAAAAGTGTCATGTAAGTTTGGGTAAATGCCATCAAAATGTCGTTTTTTCCTAATCTTTGAGTCACTTTGAAACAGTTACAGGTTTGACATTTTGTATGTAAACTGAGTTGGGTTCAAGAAGTGTGTTTTTGAGTGTCTATTAGAAACACATTTCAGATCTAACGTGCCATTTATAAGATTTTTTCTCCTGAAGCTTCTGACCCGTGGGGTATAGTGGAGAATAGGATTGAATTGAAAGAAGCTAGTTTGTTAATCAAAATAACATAATAAACATCATACTAATATTTAAAAAATACATTAAAATTTTCTTTGTCAATCTCTATATGTCATGCTTTTCCCTCCACAGTTGGAGGGACAAGTCTGGCTCGGAGTTCTCTCGGCAGATTGTAAATAGTGAATATAGGTATGTATGTGTTCTTTTTATTTATTTTTAGGTTATTTTATTCATATTTATTGTATATATATTTATTATTTTTCTGTATAATTTATTTTATTTATTGTACATAGAGTGTGAATGTGATCTCTGAAAACTATTATAAATGTCATTTGAGACAGACTGTAATATTTTTCAATAAATAAGTTTTTAAAAAATCTATATATATATATATATATAACATATACGACATGGACTATTGTCCGTTTGTCGGGTCGTCGCCCTTCATGTTTAATTATACTAATTATTGTGGGTTTTTTTGTAAGTTACAAAAATATTACATAATAATTATAAATATACAAACCAAATTGAGAAAACATATAACTTAACAATAACACCAGCTACTACTGACTGACAATAACAAACGACGATAAATTAATTTTTGTATTTATACTATTCATACTTGATATACAATTTAAACTGAAAAAATAATTAAATTCCATATTTATACATCGAGATCCGGGGTTCAATTAAAATTAAATTGTTTGAAAGCCTTACATCTGTTAGGATCAGACAAACCGGCAAGGAAGTGGTAGGTGTCTTCAGGGGTAGTGAGTGATATTACATAGAAACACGGGTAAATTATATATATATAATTTATTTATTTTTTTTTTTGTGCCCTTGCCTTTAATTTTTTAATTCCTTGGCTATACGGGGTTTTCCCGGGACATGAGGTAGGGGCAGGGATTTAAAAGACTTCCCTGGCATCGGGACGCGAACTCTTGACTATTTTTAAATCCATTATCTCATAGATCAGGTTGCGGCGGTGCTGTGAACACACGTTAGCCCGTTCGACCACCCCGCCCACCAAAAAATAACACGTGTAAATTATATGTCTCATTGGAGATCTCTCTGTGACTAGCGGACCAAAGTGTTTGGAGACCCCTAGCTTTGAGTATAGAATGTTGAAGTAAGCTCCCGTAATGATGATTGAGTAATGATGCTATCAAGTGTCGGTGCTACACCGCGATGCCGGAGAGCTCTATTAGACCCAGTTGGCAAGCTCGCCGCCACGCTAGACGTAGAGGCGTGCTAAAGCGTGGAGCGAGGAGTCAACAGATAGACACCTGATAGAGTAGACAGGGAGCAGCCGACGAATATGAAAAATGAGCGATAGGACGGAGACAGACGTAACCTATTGACATAGAGGAGGTATAGAGGGGGGGGGGCACCCTATCGACCCGGGAATGCGCGCTGCAGTTGGTCGCTGGGGTCCTCCACTGCCTCACGTGTTCCCCATGATAGATGACTGGAGGCCTCGCCCTCCCCGCTTCTTACACTTGGACCCCTTCTGCATCGCCCCTTTCCCCTTGTACTCGAGGTGAGTCCGATATCTGTACTCCGTCTCTATCTGTCTGTCTGTCCGTCCTCTAAGTGTCCTTCGTCGTCTCCTCCACTCCTTACCGTTCCAGTGCCTCCACGTAGATCGGAAGAGAGTCCGGGAAGGGACGAAAAGAACCCAAGGAAGAGGGAGAGGGGAGCGGAAGAAGTCGCCCGCCGCCCGCGTGGCGCCGCCTTCTTTAGGGCACACTTGTTGCTACCGCACAGCCCTCAAAAGATGCTGTATCCTAGCAACCATTTTTATATCCCCCCCTCCGGTTTCCTTGGCGATGAATAAACTCCTCCCCTCTTTTTCTCCCGCCTCATATTTTAATACCTTTGTTTATGTACAGTATGAATTGTTTTGATCAACAGCCGATTAGGCCTTTTGTCATTTTTTGGGGATTTTACTTTCATTATTAAACAAAAAACAATTAATCTATATTTAGTTAACCAACAGTTTTAATCTTGTTACTCGTTGACCATTAAGCCTAAATAATTAACGAAGGATTTTTTTTTTTCAAGTCAAAGGTGTCTGAAAAAACTGGTCTTCCACGTATTTGAAGTTCAATAAGGGAGTTGTTGTTTTTTTGTAAAATAAGAATGTTTCTAGAAAAACCCAACATTCTTAAAGATTTCATTATTTCGATTCTCTAATATGAGCTGAAAACGCTTTACAGATCTAGGGAAAATGCAAAAATGTGTTGTTCCTATTAAAATTTGAAAAGAAGGTACACTGTTATACAATGTGGAATTTCGAAATCCTAATTGTTCTGGATTGAGTTATTCCCAGTTTTTAATCCTCATAAGAGGCGACGATTTACTGTTAATTAACTTTAAATTAATTTAGGATCTTTGTTAATTTTAGTATGAGAATTAAAGTTGCCAATTTCCAACATTTGGTGTCTTTAACTTGTGACCTTGTTTATGGTTTCTTAAACTATAATCAGATAAATGAATAATTACAAAGAAAATTTTAATTGTTAGATGAGGGATATACGGAATATTATATATATATAATTAAGTTCATTCAGATAATTCAGTGACGACTTTGATTTCAGAGTAGTGGATTTTATGACGTAAATTATGTATCAATTCTTTATTTTGTTGTAGTATTTGATTATAACCATTATATTAATATGATGAAATGAATATCCATATATGTATTTATAAACATTCTGGAAGGCTTTATATTAAAGAAATTATTTTGTTTAATAAGGAAAATAGTATTTTATTTAGACAATATTTGATCAAGAACTGCCATTCCAATAATATTTTATGGGAAAATAATGAATGGTATTGTGTCAAATGAAAGATAAACAAACTTCAGTGATGTTATTTTCATTCATAACAACTCCCGCTAGCTTCAAAACACTTAGCTTATCACTTAACAATTTTTTTATTTACTTTATTCGAAGATATATTTTGGGTTTCAGTCAATTAATAGAAGAAATGAAAATTGCATTATTTTTATTATGGAATATTTTTCATTTTTTTAAGTCTTTCAATTATTCTTAAATATGAACGGTACTCATTCTGGTGTATGATTTTTATGTGCTATTTCATTTTCTAAAGACATATTTTTTTATCAATAATCGAAATAGATATCCTATAACTTACCCCAACCCGAGATGATATGAAATGTGTCTGAGAACAATGCGAAGAATATAAGATTGTTGGAAGAAGGATGTAATCCTTCCTTAAGTATCCAGCAGTAATTAGAGGGGATGAAATATTGTCAGAGACATATTACTAGTTTACAGCTCCAATTTATCTGGAAATTATAAATGAAAAAAATTATTCTTATTTACTAATAGTTTTAATTTTTAAGTATTAGTAAATATAGCAAATATTTCTTAATTAAGTCTTTAACATGAGAGAGAAACACTGAGTAAATCAGTTATACTGAAGTGAAATTTAAAATTCGATACAAAAAAAGAAGTATAGGTAATACACGGTTCTAGAAGAAACTCATGAATTGTTTCCCTAGGCGTTCGCATGTTTCATTCTGGTACACAGAGCTGAAGTGCCTTTTTCCTTTTTCTCTAAGACACTTCCTCCTCGGTGTTTTCCTTTTCCAAGTCCTCAGAACCAAAAACCTTCCCTACATCCTGGAACTCCTTACTCTACGCTCCTCTATCCACTCTCTTAATACCATATCTCAAGCTTTAAATTTATATATCCCCTCCCATAAAACTACTTCCTTCAGCAAATCATTCTTCATTCGTGCTACCTCCTTTTGGAACTCTCTTCCTACCTCCATAAGTCAATCCTCGTCCACAAATTCCTTCAAACAACTCCTGTTCCACCACCTACTCCACATTCAAACTTTCGCTAACATGTAAAATTACTGGTGTCTGTATACTGTTCAGTTTCAATCTACTGCACAATTGCAGTAACAATAAGCAGTTAATTATTTTTTATTATTTTAAGCCAAACTAGTATCCTTAAAATTGAAATAAATACCCATTAATAGAATAAAACACTATTATTCTTAGGGGACTGTAGTCCCACAATATATTTTTTTTTTTTCATTTATCCATTCTTGCTGTACTCTGATTCTCAACAGTTTCAAAAATAATTCAAATTTATTTATCGTTTTTAATAATTGTTCAACGGACAATTTTTTTTCCAGACCATTTGCCGCATTAAAATTATATATTCATGAATGAAAAGATGCTATATTTTAATTTTCGAAATTATTGATTCAAAAACAAAAAGGGTGTAAAAATCTTATAGGGCCTGGTAAGAAATATTTTGAAATTATTAAAAATAATGAAATCTTTATTTTCATACTTTAAGAACTTTAATTTCATAAGCTGTTCCAACGTTTGCAGGACGTGAGAACAAAAAAAAAATAAGATCGCTGTATTCTATTAACTAAGTTTCTTCAGAGTGAACTGATAGTTCTGTTATCGGATTATAATTAGTAATATGTGTATTTTTTAATTTATCGATAGTGCAGTACTAATTATTTGCGATTAGCTATTCAATTTAATTGAGTTAACAATTAAATAGCTAATTAGAGGATTTTTTTTTTTCTGAAAGGTGTTCATGAATGATGAATGGATGTGTCAGGTCGCATGTTCCATATCCGTGATACAGGTACATCATTCATTGTTTCCATTAACCAACCTACCAGAATACATGCATAGCTTTGAAATTTTAAAAGGCTCTTCTATAAATAACTGCCAAAATCTTTTCTCTTTCCTTTTCTCCTCTTATTTGCATACCACTACCATATTCTCATCATTAATATGTATGATTTTACACTTCAATATCTTTACCTGTTATATATAATGTCCCAGTCTAATAACTCATCTATTGGTGATTATATTTGCATGTATTATTCCTTGTCATATCGTCATTGCATAGCAAGTTTATCAACTTATACAGTAAGTTGTATAAAATTGTAAACAATTTTTTATCTAAGACTATCGTTTTTTTATTAATCTCAAGATATTATTATTTTACCACGTTAATATAATTAAAAATTGTGGGTTGATGGTTGACTGTAGTGAATAATGAAGAGAAGGATGGTTGGGGTGAAAAGTCAAAATAAAAATGGAAAAATAAATAATAATATTTGCCGACGTTTCCACCCGAAGTTCAGGCCTTCATCGGAGCTGAGAAAAGAACCAGATAACAATAGGTATGAGCAACATAAACAATGTAATTGAAAAAAAAAGTAAAATGAAGTAGATAAGTGAACATTAAAGTAAAATAAAGTAGGTAGAATAATAACAATAACAAGAACTAAGAAATAAATAAGAAAGTAAGGTATTTTAAGTAAGGTGTATTTTAAAATTTTCAGCTCTGATGATGACCCACATGTTTGGGTTGAAACGTTGGCACAAATAAAAAATGTTTATAATGAGTGCGTCCTGAATATTTATCACCCACGATAAATAATTTCCTTTTTCTCAGTCGAATCAACATTAGTTCATTTAAAATAATGAACCAAAACATATGTACATTACTAAAGGATGTGCCTTTGTTATTAATGACCTCATTTCGACGAATATATGATTTTGTTCTGTTTTGTAGGTATTAAAATCAAGTTTTGTAGGTAATTTTTCAAATAATCATGGGAACTATCAACTCCTCCAATGATCCATTTTAAAAGTAAACTATTCAATTACGTTTATGGTGTTTTTACATATAGCCATTCATTGTTAATTGCAATACCTTATTGTTATTAATTATTAGGAAACAAGCTGCTATATATCTAAATAATAAAAACTAGTCTCTAAATTAGTTAGTTGGCATACTCAAATTTCTAGAACAAGATTCCATTATAGTTCCATTATTCTAATTTTGTGTACCCAAGTAGCCTATACGCACTATTCAACTTTCTTTTTTTTTTCAATCCTGGAAGTTAGCAGAAATAATTTGGTTAGTTTTTCTTCATTTCACTAAATGTTTAATGTTCACTTAGGAGAGGGACTTTCCATGTCGCTATTTTAATTACCACTAGATATCTTCTAGATACAGTCACTAACCAGCTTTTTTTTCGCTGAGGAATCTAGGATCTTTTCTAACGGTCCAGTTTCGTTCTTTTTTTTTCTCTCTTTTTTTTCCTTATTGGAGATAAGGAGGTTTGCCCTCTATCCCCCCTTGGCGATTGAAGCATTTCTCTGACTTTGGCACATATTTTACAAACCCTGATGGTGTAATGTTAATAATATTAGATACTAATAGATATGCATCAATTCATTCATGAATAGTCGATACCTTTTTACTTTCACTTAACTATTTATGAAATATATAGTAAGAGACAGTATTGCGATCGTCAACTTTTTGAATTTGAGTTTTCAACGGAAATACATGTTTTGAGGTCTCCTAAGTCCAAATAACCAAGTCTCGCAAAATGGTCTGTATGTGACAGGTCTAGCTCATAAACGAAAAGTCGTATGAAACTGAAATTGCATATTTAAGGTTTGTATACATGTGGGAAGTTACAGCAACTTTTTCATCAAAATTAGCTAACCGGAAGTGACACATC